TTGTTTGTTAAAATAATATGCATGTTATTAAAACTCAAGTAGCTTGGCTCAGGTTAAAGACCTTTGTCTGATACATAGAACATAGTATGGTTGTGAGTATTGTTTTTGTTATTATAGTTTTGAGAAGTTTACACATTCATGCAGTGTATTTGATCACACTCATTTCTTTCCCTGATTCCTTCTGATCCACACCCCTGCTCAACTTCTTAAGTTTGTATTTTAGACAACATATGCATTTAGCTAATCAAGCCCTTCTGGAGAAGGAGCCTATGTGGAGGCTTTTTTTCACCACAGAAGTCACTGCTGCTTTTTTCCTTCCTCAAAAGAAGCATTAAAACAGTGTTAATAAGATGATAATGTTGGCAGCTTGGGAACTTCCATTAGTTCTGTGGCTGTTTCCTGTGCTCCACCTGCTCCGGTAACAGTTACAGAAAAGTGAAGTAATGAAGGACTGTTGTTATGTCTATCCATGGCATCGCTCGTGAGATGCTTGTGTTGTTATTCCCATTATACAAGTGGGAACTGAAGCTTAGAACATAACTGTTCTAAGTTAAATAACATGCCTTAATTATACAGCTAGACACCCCCCGCCCCCCAAGCTCATAATGGCAAAGTCAGATATTAAGGCAGGCCTTCCTGGTTCAGACAGTAGTACAGTACGGTTTCTCCTTCTGCAAAAGCAAGTCCTTGTGCTGCCGGACAGCTTTAGTTGTGAGGCCAACCGTAGGAAGACAGGACAGATGCACTAAATACAGGATGGCCACAATTGTGGCTGTGATATTCCCTGGGAGGAGGAATGTTGGGGTTAAGGTGGTTAGGGCACACTGACAGTAAAATGTAAGCTGAGCTCAGAAAACGGCTGAGCTATAGACAGAGAGGGGAGAGGGTCAGAACACAGACGAGCTAAATGTGAGGACTCAGAGGAGACCTAGTTAGCATGAGAGAAAACTCAAAAGACAGGTTAGGCCAGCCAGATCACTGTGTAGGTAAAGGTGTTTGTTCCCCAGAACTCACATGTTCACTTGTTGGAAGGAAAAAACGAAACTCCCAGAGTTGTCCTGTGACCTCTGCTCGCAGACACACACACACACACACACACACACACACACACACACAAATGTTTAAAAAAACCTTAAAAACAGTTCAGAGGGTCTTAAATGCCAAACTGAAGACTAGGATATTTTATCTTGTGAGTGTGCATAATAGAAACCTGTGCTAAACGTTTACCCCATGCCAGGCATTGTTCTGAGTGCTGTATCTGTGTGATGTTAAAGATAAGTGCAATGTCCAAAGAAAAAAGAGCTTACCAAGTTCACACCAGGAGTAAATACAAGAGACAAGCATGGGATACAAACAAGTTAAATGCCAACTCCTGTTCCTGATTACACCATCCTATTCTGGTTGTAGGGTCCTTGGTAAGACGAGCAGGTTTCATATGCAGAGTCAGCCTTAAAAAGTAATGTGCCTCACACATGGATGGTTTCTAATATTAAAAAAAGACTTGTGATCCAACAACAATACTCATTCCTATCCCTGCCCTGCTTACATATCGACAGCCAAGGACACTAAAGAGTTAATGTATCTGTGCCCTCGGCCTTCAACTCTGCCTACTGTTCTGTGTCCATGTGTCTGCATTTCTGCATACATCTGAGAGTGAACCTAAGATGTGTCAGTCTGTGTTAACTGTATTCAGTAGTTCTCAGAGTGTGGTTTCTGGACCACCAGAGGAGCAACATCATCAGAAAACTTGGTAAAGGTACCAGTTCTGCAGCCTCTCCCCACGTCTATTGAGTCAGAAACTGGAGGTGAGGTACAACAGCTTTTAGTGGGCCCTTGAGTAGTTATGATGCATGCTGATGTTTGAGAACCATCATTACAACTAGACTTTCAGTTCAGGAACAAATTGCTTAGTTTGTTTCTGATACTCCATGGTATGGGCATTGGAGAACTGTTGGGCTCTTACTCTTTGGTTTTTGTTACTGGGACTTATGCTTTGACTTTGTAAGCATACAATATGTTTTAAGAGTAAAATCAATTAGAAGAGTACTCATCTTTGGCTCAGTGATAGAGCACTTATGTGCCTAGGTCCAGTCCCCAGCACCACTGCAAGCTTGATAAATACTGGCAGGGCAGAGTGAGAGAAAAGCACAAGAGGGTCGTTGAAATGCGGAAGTAGTCCATGCAGTCAGAGTCACAGAGAAGGCTGCCTCTTCGGCCCTGTGCTTGGTTTAAACATAAACATCCAATTTTTCTGACTGATTCAAAAGTGGTACATAATTGTTTTCTTTTAAAATTCTTTGAATAGAAATTACTGTGTCCAGTAAAATAGTAAGTATATCTATTCAATACTACTTGCTTCTTACTTTTATATGTTCTTTTTCATGTGTTTGTGGTATGCATGCTTATGTGTATGTGTAGGCACATGTATGGATACACATTTGTGTGCAAGTCAGGTGTGTGTGTGTGTGTGTGTGTGTGTGTGTGTGTGTGTGTGAGAGAGAGAGAGAGAGAGA